GAGAGAATGACAAAAAAAAAGGGATGAGAAAAAAAGAGTACAATGGGTGCAGAAGGAAGGGAGAAATATAATGGGGTAAATTATTTCACAGGAAAAGGCACGAAAGATCTATTACAATGGAGGGGAAGATGGGAGGATAGGTAACAAGCATCATTTGAACCTTACTCACATCAGTATTAACTCAAAGAGGGAATAATCATATACACAATCAGTTGAATATAGAAATCTATCTTACCTGACAGGGAAATAGGGTGGATGGAGATCAACTAAAGGTGCAGTGGGGACTGACAGAAGACAGGGCAGATCAGGGGAGGTGGTAGACAGAAACAAAACACTGGTGAGAAGGAAAAGAGTGAAAGGAGACAGAGGACAGACAAGAGAAAGAATAGGATGGAGAGAAATACAAGGTAGTAATCATAACCGTAATGTGAATGGGATGAACTCTCTCATAAAATGGAAGCAGACAGAGTGGATCAAAAACCAGAACCCTACAATGTGATTGTTTGCAAGAAACACACTTGAAGCAGAGAGACACACATAGAGTAAAGATAAGGGACTAGAGCAGAATCTATTATGCTTCAGCTGATCTCAGACAAAGTAAAAGTGAAAATGGACCTCATTAAAAGATATAAGAAAGGAAACTACATCTTGCTAAAAGGTACCATAGACAATGAAATAATATCAATACTAAACATATTCACCAAGTGGTATAGCATCCAAATTCTTAAAGGAAAAGTTAAGTGAGTTACAGGAAGAAACAGATAGCAAAATTATACTAGTGGGGGACCTCAACTGTCCCCTCTCAGAACTCAATAAATTCAACCAAAAAATAAACAATAAAGAAACTAAGGAGATAAATGGAATATTGAAAAGTTAGGTATGACAGACCTTTGACATGATTTAGACATAAAGGGTGACACCATAAGCAAATCAGAAGAGCAGGGAATAGTCTACCTGTCAGATCTATGGGGAGGGGAAGAATTCATGACCAAACAAGAGACAGAGAGCATTGCAAAATGTAAAATACAGAATTTTGATTATATTAAATTAAAAACCTTTTGTACAAATAAAACCAATGCAACCAAGATTAGAAGGAAAGCAGAAAGATGGGAAATGATCTTTTTAGCAAGTGTCTCTGTTAAAGGCCTAACTTCTCAAATATATAGAGAACTGAGTCAAATTTACAAGAATACAAGCCATTCTCCAATTGATAAATGGTCAAAGGATATGAACAGGCAGTTTTCAGATGAAGAAATAAAAGCTATCTGTAGGCATATGAAAAAATGCTCTAGATCACTTTTGATTAGAGAAATGCAATTTATGAGAACTCTGAGATACCACCACTATCAAATTGGTTAATTTGACAGAAAAGGGAAATGATAAATGCTGGAGAAGATGTGGGAAAATTAGGACACTAATGCATTGATGATGGAGTTGTGAACTAATCCAATCATTCTGGAGAATAATTTGGAACCATACCCAAAGGGCAACAAAACTGTGCATACCCTTTGATCCAGCAATACCACTACTAGGTCTATAGCCCAAGGAGATCATAAAAAAGGGAAAAGGACCTACAGGTGCAAAAATATTTATAGCAGACCTTTTTGTTGTGGCAAAATATTAGAAATTGAGGGGATGCCCACCAATTGGGGAACGGCTGAACAAGCTGTGGTATATGAATGTAATGGAATAAGTGTGGAATAAGAAATGATGAACAGGCAGATTTCAGAGAAACCTGGAAAGACTTGTACAAACTGATGCAAAGTGAAATGAGCAGAACCAGGAAAACATTGCATACAGTATCAGCAACATTGTGTGATAATCAATTATTAATAACTTGGCTCTTCTCAGCGATACAATGATCCAAGACAAGTACAAAGGACTCACAAAGGAAAATGCTATCCACATCCGGCTAAAGAACTGATGGACTGAATGCAGATCAAAGCATATTTTTTTCACTTATTTTATTCTTTCTCACAGTTTTTTTTTCTTTTACTTTTGATATATTTCTTCTTTCACAACTGTGACTAATATGGAATATTTTTACATGATAGTACATGTATAAACTATATCAAACTACCTACTATTTTAGGAAGAGGGGGAGGGGAGGGAGGGAGAAAAATTTGGGACTCAAAATCTTGTAAAAATTAATGCTAAATTTTTTCCCTGGTTAATAGGGAAAAAATTATGTCTAAATCTAAAATACAACTTCAGCTTGAATCTTGTCTTCTATAGGAAGCTTTCCTAGTCTCTTCCTTATTTATAGCTAGTGCCCCTCTCCCTCAAGCTTTGTTCCTTGAGAGCTAGGACTGCATTATTGCTTTTCTTTGTATTCCCAGGACTTGAAATAATGCCTGAAACAGTAAGTTTTTGTTGACTAAAACTCCAAAGCCCAACATCCATAGTTCATAGAGCTAGAACTTGGAAGAACCTTAGAGATCATCTATTTCTATTCCCTCATTTTATTGATGAGGAAAGTGATGCCCAGAGAGGTGGTGACTTACTCAAGGTCACACAGATAATGTCAGGACCAGGATTGAAATCCAACACTGTATTTCCTTAAATATATTACCTTACATTTTAAACTTCAGCTCTCATTTTTCTGCCCACTCACATGTTTTCATAAATTCTTCTTACAGGCTCTTCCCATTGACTTGGATTTTCAGTACTTCTGTCTAGCACTGATTCCTGGGGAACCCTACCATATATCTTTTGGTACTCAGAGAAGGACCTACCCTTTATGACTCTATTTGTGACAAAAGTCTTCTGTTTCCAATCTCATGGTAACTCAATTTTTCAAATAGCCGTTGGTGCACAATCTTACTAATGACTTTCTGCCTATCTAAATGGATTACTTTCCGTGATTCTCTTTCAACCCACATTACCTTCTGGGAAAACCAACAAATTACTCAGGCACACTTTCCCCTCCTCTAAACAATGCTATTATTCCCTCAGTGGCTTGACTGTCAAGGGATCCTGCCCATTATTGATTCCACCAGCTTGCTGGGCACAGAGGAAGATTCAATAGTCAATAGATCCCAGCATCCTCTCTGGAACCCTTTTTATGAATGGGGGCTAACTACAGCAGCTGTCAATCAGTCTCCTGGCAGAGAGAATGTCTAACAATAGGTTATGTGTTCTGGCTAAAGCTTCACTTCTTCTTTCTTGTTTCTATGAAATTTCCAAGGTGTACTTGGTTATTTGATGTATCAGCATCTATTTTATTGACCAGATCTAGAACAAACTGTACTTGGCATTATTTGATCTAATACTTATTCATTGTAAAGAAGTTCGGAGATAATCTGGTCTAATTCTGCCATTTTAAAATATAGACACTGAGGCCCAAGGAGTTGGTGTCTTGCCTGTGGTCATACAGCTCATTAGTAGTACAACTGGGACTAGAGCCCAGGTCTCATGACTCTCAGACCAGTGTTTTTTTCCACTGGATAGATTCTATTGCTTGTACTTCAGCATGTTTGATTAAAGGTTCAAGTACAATCACCAGGAGTTAGAGAAAGGGGATAAGCATTTATAGAGCACCCACTGTGTACTGGACACTGTACAAATATTGTCTCATTTGATCCTCATGACAACTCTGTGAGGTAGGTGATATTATTATCCTCATTTAAAGTTGGGAAACTGAGGCAAACAGAGTTAAGTGATTTGCCCGGGGTCACACTGCTAGTAAGTATCTGAATCTGGATTTGAACTCAGATTTCCCTGATTCCAAGCCCAGCACTCTCTCCACTGCACCACCAGCTGCCTCTGGAGATGTAAGAAATGACAGAGAAGGAAGGATCAAGGAGGACTGCAAAGTTGCCAGTCTGAGTGACTAGAAGGAAGATGATATCCTCAAAAACAATAGGTAAGTTTTGAGGTTGGAACAGATAGTTAGCATCACATTGTGCATGATGAATTTGAGATGCCTACAGAACATCCAGGTAGAAGTCTGTAGCAGGCAGTTAGTGGTAGGGCTTGAGCTCAAAAGATTAGTGTTGGATGGATATTTGGTGGTGGTTTTGGAAGAAATGATGATTGAACTTGGTGATCTATCACTGTTGGAATCCAGGGCCGGTTATTTTACAATTATGTGCCCTATCTAGAAGAAGGAAGTAGACCAGTGTCTTCCCCTCCTCCCCTGCCCAGTAGACAAGACAGTATCATGCAGAGCTTTCTCTCCCTCAGGGAGACTGAGGAAAGGTAAGGTTGCTGTGAAAAATCAGGGGAGACGATGTACACAAAGCATTTTGTTGTTATTGTTGTTTTAACGTTTATTTTCAGTTTCAAATTCTCTCTCTCTCTCTACCCCTCCTCCACCCATTGAAACATAAAGCATTTTGTAAACTTTCAAGTGAGAATTCTGTAATCTACTGCCATCATTAGAGCAAAGGCATTAAGAAGTCAATAGTTAAGGGCTTTGTAGCAACCCTTCTCAGTTTAGAATTCGATAGGCCAAGTCAGAGGCAGCTTGGTGGTGCAGGGGAAAGAGCACTAGGCCTGGGGTCCCAAAGACCCCCCCCCCGAGTTCAAATCTAGCCTCAGACACTTACTAGCTTTATAGTGCTGGGCAAGTCACTTAAACTCCTTTTGCCTCAGTTTTCTCAACTGCCAAATAATGGCGCCTACCTTTTCCAGGCCTATTGTGAAGATCAAAAGAGACACTATTTGTCAAGCATTTAGCGCAATGCCCAGCACATAGTAGGTGTTTAAAAAATGCTTATTCCCTTCTCCTAGGCTCCTATGAGCCAAGTGAGAAGCTCTTTTAATTTCACACCTAATGTGATCTAATGACAGCCATAGCAATCTCATTCCCAATCCCATCCTTCCTTAAAAGGGAGGATGAGATTCTTAAAAAGCCTGGAACACATCAAAGCCACAAAAAGAATGACCAATGTTGTTCCAACACCAAATGAGGTCCGTTAAGTCTCTGCCTGTTAATGCTACAGAATCAGACCTCCATCTTGGGGATATGCGAGTAAACAAAAGAGACAATGAAAGGATATGTTCAGGAAGCTGATTTTAATTTAATAAGTTATCCTGCATTTGGGTGAAAAGCAATTTAACTTGAAACAGTAAGACAAATTTTAAAAGTCACTGAAGCAAACAGCTTCCATCACTGCATCAAAATATAAAAGCAATATTTACATGAAGACGAAAATCCCCAATCTAATTAGATCTCAAAGGGCAAATCTCCACCACACATAACCCAGAGAAATTCACTGAGAAAGCTCTCTTGAGCCAAATGAATAGTTAAGCAGAAAAACCGATTCTGTCAAGTTAGTTGATAATCGTGTAGTAGTTAGAGAAAAGCTCTTCTCCTTGCTGGATGTCCCTGAGTGCCACGAGAACCACACATCGCAATGGGCTGTTAGAAACAAAGGGGAAAATAGAGATTTGATTAATTAACTCTGATCAACTTGGTGCATTTAGAGTAACGCGGGTTCACATCTTTAAATACAAATGTAGCTGAGATAAACATTACAGTTGGAATGTTCCTTCTCTTCTGATTCTTCCTTAACATCTTAATTTTTTAATTTAATTTTATAACTAACTCACAAGGGAACGGAAGCTTTTTTCTTTCTTCCCCAACACATAACAAAAGCAGGATTCTGGTAAAGCAGAAACAAAGCAAGCATCATTCTAAAGAGAAGACTCATCTTCCTGAATCTTTTAAATCTGGCCTCATACACTTCCTAGCTGTGTGGCCCTGGGCAAGTCACTTTACCCTGTTTGCCTCAGTTTCCTCATGTATAAAATGAGCTGGAGAAGGAAGTGGCAAACCCCTCCAGTATCTTTGCCAAGAAAATCATAAACGGGATCACGGTGAGTCAGACACGACTGAAATGACTGAATAACACCACAAAATAAAACTTAGTAAATATTTGCTCATTGATAGGCTGAGATGAAATGTCAATCTCATAGTTTGTATATACTGAGTATATACTAGAGCTGAAAGAGACCCAGTCCAACACCCTCATTTTACAAATAAGGAAACTGTCCAAAGTCAAACAGCTACTAAATAACAGAGCCAGGATTTGAACCCAGCTTCTTTGACTCTAGGGCGAGGGTTCTCTCCACCATACCATGCTGCCTCCCCAACTGAGCAAATCAAAAACACAAAATGCAGCCAGCACTCTCAAGGCAAACAGTGCAGAAGCTCTCTCTACTCTTTCTTCTAGAATGTGTTGAGAGCTTCCCAAGTCCGCATTAGAATCTAGAACCTCCTCTGAAAATGTTGGGTTTCATATTCTTGCCACGAAAATTAATTTTAAGAATCAAAAGTTTTCACAATGATAAATTATACTCTGGGCATTATATTTTAAATGACCTTATTAGTATGTGTTCTACACTAGGGCCTGAGTGTGGGAGTGGGGGTGGGGAGAATCACTCCCACACAAGGGCCCCAGCTAGAAAAGCAACAATTTAAAGCTCACCAGATAAGGACAAAATCTATTTCTGGATACATTGCATGTAAACTCTTTCAAGTTTCTTACATGTCGATACATTGCATGTAAACTCTTCCAAGTTTCTTACATGTCCAACACTTTCTATTCTTCTATTACAATATGTAAGAACATCAATATTTATTCATTTATTTGTTCATTCAATTATGCATTTGTTTTTTTAAAAATTTTATTAATTTATTTTGATTTATCAACAATCACTTCCATATGCTTTTGAGTTGAAAATTTTTCTCCCCCTTCCTCCCCCCCAACCTCCCCAAGAGGGCGCACAATCCGATATAGGCTTTACATACCCATTAAACATATTTTCACATTAGTGAAGTTGTAAGTAAAAATCAAAACCAATAGGAGGAACCATCAAAAAGATGAAACAAAACTCAACAGAGGGTAAAAATAAGTGATAGCGATTCGACTTCCACAGTTCTTTCTTTGGATGAGGACAGCATTTTCCATCCTGAGGCCTCTGTAAGTGTCTTAGATCCTCGTAATGCTGAGAAGGGTTCAGTTTAACAATCTTATTCATTGCATAACGTGGCTGTTACTGTGTACAAAGTCCTCTTGGTTCTGCTCACTTCACTCAGCATCAGACCGTAAAAGTCTTTCCAGGTTTTTCTGAAGTCAGCCTGTTCATCATTTCTTATAACACAATAGTATTCCATTACATTCATATACCACACCTTGCTCAGCCATTCCCCAATTGATGGGCATCCTCTCAATTTCCAATTCTTTGCCACCACAAAAAGAGCTGCTAGGAATATTTTTGTACATGTGGGTCCTATTCCCATTTGTTTGATCTCTTTGGGATATAGCCCTAGAAGTGCTATTGCTGGATCAAAGGGTATGCACATTTTTGTAGCCCTTTGGGCAGAGCTCCAAATTGTTCTCCAAAACGGTTGGATCCAATTATGCATTTGTTCAACAAGAATTTACCAAGCGCCTACTCTATACCAGACACAGTGCTAGTCTGCTAGTTGCTGGGGATGGGAAGTAAAACACTGAAACACTTCCTGCCTTCTAAGAGCTTTCATTTATTCTATTTGCAAGGAAACTATAGGTACATGCACACAAAGAAAACGCTAAGACATTCTTTTTAGTGGAGAGACAGCACCTTTTTACTGAGGGGGATCAGGAAAGACCTTGCATGGGAGTGGAACTTAGAGGGATAGGCTTAAAGCAAATTAGTCACAAAAATGGATCTACCCCCAGCTTCTGACTGATGAGAATGGCTCACATTTTACACGTAAGAACAGAAAGTTAATTTTCTAAAACCGATCGATGAGATCTTCACAAGACCAAAGAACACTTACAAACAACTGTTAAGTGCAGCAATGGAGACTACCGTGGTGAAATGAGTGGGCAGACCATCAGGCCTGGAGTCAGGGAGACCTGAGTTCAAGTTCAGCCTCAGATACTTACTAGTTGAGTGACCCTGGGCAAGTCACTTAACCCATCTACCTCAGTCTCTTCAACTGTAAATTGGGGATAATAATAGCACCTACCTCCCAGGATTATTGTGAGGATTAAATGAGATAACATTTGTAAATCACTTAGCACAGTGCCTGGCACATAGTAGGTACAACATAAATGCTTTTCCAAAACTTTCCTTCCCAATGTCATAAGTTTACTTTTAAGGAAGTGGATTCTCTGTGAGCTTACTCACTTTACTGGTCCTTCAGAATGTTATTTATGCAGACTTAGCATGGCTAGAACAGGTTTCTTCCATTTCAAACTATAGCATATCTTCTGGTTTTCATCCTTTCCATCTGCACCATACTTTTAACAGCCACTTAAACGGGCAAAAAAGAAACTGTTCATAATTAGTGTTAAGTCGGTCCCTTTCCTCAATCCAGATCTCCCATGTGTGGGTTTATGAACCCAGGGGAAATGGGGAGCAAGGTACTTTAAATTGATTACAGCAAAACCTCATCTGAAGAAGTTGAAGGGTGGGAGGATTAGAGAATACTTTGAAAGAAATGTCTTTTTTTAAGTACTGTCTATTTTATCAATGAGTACCAACCAAAAGGCAAAAATAAAGTTAATTTTAAAATTATAATTCCTAGTAAGCCCACACTACAATAATGCATCATAAGACTCCTAAATTATATATCTTAGAAATTCTTGTATTAAAAAGGAATCACATCTTTAATAAATTATGCCTCAGAAATTCCTTTATTCAAAAAGAAGCCCATCTTTGAGATAGGAATTATGACAAATTTCCAGTTAGTGGTGGCTGACCCTGATATCTGACTGAATTGAAAGCAATGAACCTATCTGAGTAACAAAGACATTCTTTTCGCTCTCTGATTATAAATTTTATCTATCACCAATAAAGTGTCTCTGGAGATATCTTCCAAACACATACATAAGCATGCTTGCAACCACCATCCTGATGTGCAGCCTTTTCTAATGCCCCCAACATCTCATTAGATGCTTATTTCACTGTGAGTGTGGTCCTGCTTCCCTGTACCCATCTCTAAACATGTTTTGGAGGTTAAAATAAAAATGACAAGGGATGAAATCTGACAACAGAGATTTTTGTGTTCCTTTTTCAGGTAGCATTTTTCATTTCAAAGAACCATGTGTTTATACCACACTGGGGGGAAGCAGGATAACTGTTTTTAACCATCATCTACCTCACAGGAATCTGTACTTGGACAAATAGGGCCATTCAGTATCATTAAGGTTAATTAATTATCTACATTCTGGTCCTAGTTTTCATTTAATGCTAATATATTCCAGAGGATAGAAATATTGCTCTGGCTAAATTATTCTATCTTTGGGCCAAATGCTTCAAGTCTTTCCTAAAAAACGTGGTATAGAATCCTGGTGTCCTGTTCAGTAGGAGCAGTGAAAGGGATAGCACCTATGATTTCACTGGTACAGAGAAATTCCAGGTGAAAAAACACCTTTGACCAATGCAGGCTGGCACTTTTGCTGAAATTTATGGTCTTAAGAGAGCTGTCTAGAACAAAGAGGTTAAGTAACTGGTCCAGGGTCATATAGCCAATACAGATTCGAGGTGGGCCTTGAATCTATGTTTTCCTGATTTCAAGGAGAGTTCTCTATTACATCAGGCTGCCTCCTGTTCTGTTCAATATGAAAGAAAATTCATAATAAAATGTCAATGCTACCACTATATCCTGCTAAAAAATACTATGAAATCATGTATATATGTGTTATGTAACAATTTGGGGAGTAAGAAAATATGTTTAATTTCATTTGCTTGTTCAAAGACACCCCAAACCTCTCCTTTTGAAAGGGGTTAGCATATAATCCCGGGCAAGTCTTCCCAGAATTTAGCACCTACCTCCTACGGTTATTGTGAGGATTAACTGAGATAATATTTGTAAATCACTTAGCACAGTGCCTGGCACATACTAGGTGCTACATAAATGCTTTCCCAAGCATGTTTATCTCTCCCCTCCCACCTTTCTGCCAAATGAGCATTTGTGGATTCCATCAATAAATTTCAGACCCCAAAAATGTTTTGGGACCAGATCAATTTGGGAAATGCTGTTCTACACAGATTTTTCCTCAGAAAAGCAGCTAATAAAATATGAGGCAAAAGATAGATACAAACCACTGTTCTGAGAGATGCTGACCTTTGTGTGTCATGACTGTACATGATATTTGGAAGATACTGCTTAAATTCTAATGGGAAAAGTTCGGGCACATCAAATTCCTGATAGCAGACATTAGCTTCTTTGTCTAGAGGAAAAAGAGAGAGAATGATAAAGAGAGAGAGAGAGAGAAAGAGAGAGAAAATGCAAGAGAGAGGAAAAGAGTAGGGAGAGAGGGGGTAGGAGGGAGAAAGGGGAAGAGAAAGGGAGAGGAAAAGAGAGAAAAAAGAGCAGGAAAGAGAGCAAGAGAGAGAGAGATACAGACAGAGAGGGAAAGAGGGAGGGAGACAGAAATAGGAGAGAGAGGAGAGAGAGAAAGAGAAGGAGGGAGGAAGGAAGAGACAGTAAAAGAGAGAGACAGAGAGAGAGAATAAAAAGATAAAGAAAGAACAAAAGAAAGAGAGAAAGAGAAAGATAGAGGGAGAGGAACCAAAAAAGGGGGAGAGAGGAGGGAGGGAGGGGAGGGGAGAGAGAGAGAGAGAGAGAGATTTTGCAAGTTAGTAATGAATTTTTTTTCTGAACTTAACCAAATCAGATGAACATTTCCACATACAAAGCACAAAGGAAAAAGAAGATTGCAACAAAGCCACAAACCAGCATCATGTACAGCCTGCTTCTCCCTCCAAGTTTACAAGAAATTAAACATGTTATTTTCAAACCGTCATGCTTGTCTGTGTTTTCTACTGACCTTGAATGAAATTTTTTTTAAAAAACAAGGTATCTAAGCGTTTCCTGTAATTGCTGTAATATTTTGTATAGTAATAAGCCCCCCAACAAAGTAAGCAGCCATCTAGACTTATCCTCTTCTCTACACCTGGTCTGCAGGTCACAGAGAAGGTAAATGACAGGATCAAAACCACACAGGAAGCTAAAGTCAGATTGAACAACACAGCAGAGACACAACTCCAGCGTGACCTGCTCAATATGACCATGTGAAGTCAGGAAAAAATAACCAGCAGATGATTATGAAGCAAGGGGAAATGTCAAAATATCATGGTCAGTAAGGACAAGGGAGGCGTCCAATCCCCAATGATAAAACAAAAATGACAAAAATAGGGTTCTTGTGGAGCTGACCTTAATACAGCTGCTGAAAAGAGCACCCAAAATGTCACACTCTTAACGGAATCATCATCAGCGGTTTAAGAGGCTGACCACGAGGCAATCCTGCCTTAAAGGAAAAGCCATCGCACTTTTTTTCTACACACACAATTTGCCTCCACGTTACCTCCATGCTTCCTATCAGAGCCATTTGCCCATTTTGTGTATGTGGTCCTAAAACCAGACTCTTTTGAAAGCCAGACATTTTCAAATTCTTGAAACAAAAATTTGCTGCAAGTATTTTGTTAAGGGGAAAGGGGCCGACATCAGCTCAGAACTGAAAACTAAAGCTGTCTATTTCCAAAATTGTTTTCAAAAATTCCATTAATTCACAATTTAAGTGAAATGGAAGAATATTTATAAAAACATAAACTGCTTAGATTAACAGAAGAGAAAATAAAATTTCTTAGTAAACCTATTTTAGAGGAAAAAAAATTGAACAGGCCATGTAAGAGCTTAATAAGAAAAAAACATTAGAAGCAGATGGATTTACAAGTGAATTCTACCAAAATTTTAAAGATCAACTAATTCCAATATTAAATAAATTATTTGGAATAATAGGCAAAGAAAGAGTCCTACTAAACTCTTTTTATGAAATAAATATGGTAATGATATTTAAACCAAGAGCAAAAAGAGAAAGAAAATTACAGACTATTTTCATTAACAAACATGGATGCAAAAATTTTTAAATGAAATACTCAGAGGCTTTGCTTGCAAATGTTTAGGGATCTTTCTCTTCATTTGTGTTCTAGGCATCCCTGCCACTATAATAGCTCTATACGGTGGTCATCTTCATCCATTCTTCCAGCCTACTTCCTCACTGAGGACTTGATCTCAGGGCTGGGCTCAGGGACCTTCTGGAGTGATGTTCTGGGTTGGTTCTTTTGCTGCTTTCTTGGGGTTGGAGCACTGTATTATTTCAGGATCTTAAGGACAGGCTGGGGATGTGTAAGCTTTCAGTACTCCCCAAAAAAGCAGTTTGACTGCTATATCCTGGTTTGAGCTTTGCAAGTTCCTGACTTGGGGTATGGGTCTGAACAAGAGTAGATGCGGCTGGACTCAGCCCCTATCAGCAGGTGGAGAGATCTGGTGGTTCAGAGCAGCGGAACTGTGGGCTCCCCTTTGGTCTAGGATTCCAGAACTCATTACTGTTTCTGTTGGCTGGGCTGGAGGTTAGAAGTGAAATTTTGCTATGCACCTGAAGTTTGTCCCACACAACTGTTGCAGCTGCAGCTGCTTCTGTTTGCCTCCAAACGTCCTCCTTTCTCAGTACTCAGCCCCGGGCTTCCCTACCCAGGAATACTACTGACATGTAGGGGTCCCCTTCTCACTCTGCCCTAGATTTGCAACCTGGGACTGGATAGTGGACAACCATGCTGGCAGTTGGCACCTGCCACCGTCACAGTGCTGGTAAAAGTTTGGTATCTCCTCTTCTTGGGGCACACAGCCTCTCCCTGAGTGTGGCCAGGCTCCTCAGTGCTACTGACTGAGCGGATGTCAATCCACAGACCTCCCTGTCTGTCTCCCATTGCTGAGCTGCACTGGACAAATGACTCCCTGCAACTTTTTCTAGATTTCCCCATCAGGATTTTGTCTGGCACATTTTCCAGATTAGGAGGAGTTTGTGGAGAAGAGCTCACCATCACTCTGTGATCTTGGCTCCCCCTACCCCTACTTTAAGGTGTGCAAAGCTACTTTACAAATATCTTCTCCTTGCCCGTGGTCACACAGCTAGTAACTGTCTAATTCAGGATTTGAATTCAGGTCTTTCTGATTCCACTGTCCCACCTACTGGCTAAATAATCACCAGTGTTTATATAGCACTTTAAGATTTCCAAAGCACTTTACAAATATCAGCTTCTTCTATCTTCACAACAAAAACAACCACCCTGAAAAGCAGATGCTATTTTTAACCTCGTTTTACAAATGAGGAAACCAAGGCAGAGAGAGGTTATTAAGTGATTCACCTAGGGTCACTCACACAGCTAATAAGTGTCTGAGGACAGATTTGAATTTAGGTCTCTCTGACTCCAGATCTAGTGCTCTCTATGTACTGCACCATCTAGCTTCCATGCTTCCTTCCTAAGAAATACAAAGGAGAGATCCAAGATGCTTGGAAGTAGAAATCAATAAAGGCTTCGTGGAAGAGCTAGTGGCTGAAGTGGGCCTGAAAGAACAATAGGGATTTCATAAAGGGAAGAGATCATCTAAGCAAAAGCTCAGAAACAGGAGAGACCGTGACAAGGAGGGCGATGGTCTCAGTTTAGCTGGAATATAGATTATGTAAAGAGGAGTTGTTTGTCCTTCGTTCTTGAAGAGGACCATGACATCAGGAAGGTGATGTCATGACTTGCAAGTGATTTGGATTTAAGTGAGGGAGGACTGTGCAAGGTCACCAGCCTCGCTTTTTCCTCTGGAGCCATCTGGGTCCAAAGGTAAGATATAGATCAGGATCACTGGAGATGGCCCCCATGAAGAGGAGTAATATTAAGCTGAAGACCTGCATGTATGTGAAATGCTTCCAGAGCTGGCAGAAGGCTTAACACCCTCCTTGGTCAATGGTCAGACATTGAATCATTCTGACATCAAAGAGTGATATAATGAGAGGAGTGCACGGGAAAGTGCCTTCAGGAAGCACGAACGATAGATTGCAGATGGGAGAACGCAGAACAAGGAAAAAAAACCCAGTGAGGAGGTTGTCCAAATTGTCTGGCTAAGGGGTAACATGGTTCTGAACAAGGGGGGGTTGCAATGGGAGTAGAAAAGAGAGAGAAATATTGCAAAGTTTGAATCAAGAGGGCCTGGAGACTGACTAACTGTAGGGGAGAATGAGACAAAGAGGGAGAAATCAAGAAAGGGGCAGAGATTTCCAGCTTGTGACTGAGAGGATCATAGTGGCATCGATTATGATGTAGTGATTGATGTTAGAGAGAAAAGATTATGAGGAAGGGATGGATAGAGAGATGATAGATAATAAAGATAGAAACAGATAGAGGATAGAGATAAAATAGAGAGATAGCTGATAGATGAGAGACAGAGACAGATAAAGATAAATGATAGAGATAGAGGAAGAGATAGATATTGATAAAAAGAGAGAAAATAGCTAGAGAGATAGATGATACAGACAACATAGAGTCAGAAAAATATAGATAGATTACAGATAGAAATAAAAAGAAAGAGAGGGATAGAAAGAGATGGAGATAGATGATATTGGTAGATAATAGATATGAGACAGACATAGATACATAGAGATAGATGATAGAGATAGAGAGGAAGAGAAAGATATTGGTAGAAAGAGATAGATAGAAGATTGATAGGTAATAGCTAGATAGAGATAGACAACAACAATGTTTTTGGAGCAGCTAGGTGGTGCAGTAGATAGAGTGCTGGGCCTGGAGTCAGGAAGACTCATCCTCCTGAGTTCAAATCTGGCCTCAGACACTTACTAGCTGTGTGACCCTGGGCAAGTCACTTAACCTTGTTTGCCTCAGTTTCCTCATCTGTAAAATGACTTGGAGAAGAAAATGGCAAACTGCTCCAGTATCTTTGCCAAATGGGATCGTGAAGAGTTGTACGTGACTGAAAAATGACTGAACAGCAAGAGATAGAAAGATGACTCAGAGATAGAGTTAGAAAGATATAGACAGATTATAGAGTTCGAAAGGGATAAAGAGATACAGATGGAGATGGATAGCTAGCTAGATGATATGGATAGATATATGAAATCTAAGAGAGATAGTTATAGACAGATGATAGAGATAGAGAAGAGAAAAATATTGGTAGAAAGAGATAGAAGATTGATAGATAATAGCTAGAGATAGATAATTCAGACAATAGAAAGATATAGATTACAGAGACAGATGGAAATTGATGAGTTATAGACACAGTATTCATTTATTGAGGGAGGGGAGGGCAATCAAGGTTAAGTGACTTGCCCAGGTCACACAGTTAGTAAGTATCTGAGGCTGAATTTGAACTCAGGTCCTCCTG